ACCATGTCACACCCCTGTAATACTAGCACTCTGGGGAGCTGAAGCGGGAAGATCACTTGAGCCAAAGAGTTAGAGGCTGCAGTGAACTAGGATTACACCACTGCATTTCAGTTGGGGTGACAGCGAGACCCCCTTCTCTACAAAAGTACAAATAAAAGTAAAACCATCTCCTTCTTGAGGCCCATCCTAACCACCTCATTTAAAATTGCAAGACTTGCTTCATCTCTATTATTCTTCACTGTTATTTTCACTGTAACACTTGCCACTTCTATTATTTAATTTCCTTATTGTCTGTCTCCCTTCTCCTCCACCAGGGTAAGCTCCATGAGAACAGGGATCTTGGCTTTGTTTTTATTCAGTGATGTACCTAAACACCTGGGATAGGCTCTGGCACATTGATGCTCAAAAATTGTTAAACAAGTAAATTAAAATCCTGACTTTTCAGAGTCTTTTTGATATATTGTCTAACTAGGCCACTTATACCATGATGCCAACATGATAAATCTACAGGTTCGTATAATCTGCACACTTGTCAGGACAGAATTTTGCTTTGGGGATGACCATTTTGTACTCTGGCAGGACAAACAAACGTTAGGTGTCCCCGGAGCATCGTTTACTTTTATAGATGTGTTTCTATTTTTCTTCTTTTTTTTTGAGATGGAGTCTCACTTTGTCGCCCAGGCTGGAGTGCAGTGGCATGATCTTGGTTCATTGCAACCTCTGTCCTCCCCGGTTCAAGCGATTCTCCTGCCTCAGCCTCCTGAGTAGCTGGGACTATAGGCGCGTGCCAGCACACCTGACTAATTTTTATGTTTTTTAGTAGAGACAGGGTTTCACCATGTTGGTCACATGGGTCTGGATCTCCTGACTTCGTGATCCGCCTGTCTCGGCCTCCCAAAGCGCTGGGATTACAGTTGTGAGCCACCGTGCCTGGCCATGTTTCTCTTTTTCTAAGAAACATACTGTTGCTGCAAGGATTTGTTCTTTGAACTCCAATACTTCTGAAGTACAGGGAAGCATTTTATAACCAACTTTCTGAATGTTTTGCCTCAAAGGAGAAAAAATTATTACACTATGTGGGAGTGCTAACTGCTGCCAAAAATATTTTGAAGGACTTCCCGTATTACTAAAGTCTCTAAAGAGCTTAATTTATCTTTACCAGGAACAAGTTATTGCTGTTTTAAATTCTCTCCTATTCCAGATTTTGTCATAAGAAGCTGTTCTTTCCTTGAACAATGGATTAAAAAAAAAGAAGAAGAAGAAAAGAACAAATCCAAAGGTATGGGCAAAACGGGCCTAGCCCACACCATTTACCTTTTTTTTTTTTTTTTGAGACAGAGTCTTGCTGTGTCACCCAGGCTGGAGTGCAGTGGCGTGATCTTGGCTCACTGCAAGCTCCGGCTCCCAGGTTCACGCCATTCTCCTGACTCAGCCTCCCAAGTAGCTAGGACTACAGGTGCCCGCCACCACACCCGGCTAATCTTTTTTTGTATTTTTAGTAGAGACGGGGTTTCACCGTGTTAGCCAGAATGGTCTCTATCTCCTGACCTTGTGATCCGCCTGCCTTGGCCTCCCAAAGTGCTGGAATTACAGGCGTTCAGCCACCATGCCCGGCCCAGCCCACACCATTTCTATTCTGCATTGACTGTCTTAAGAATCTGGGTGTAATCAAAGTTTTGGTTAACATCTACCATCTTTTAGGGAACACAAATGTGGTACAAATTAATTCAGACACCTCAGTTTTAGAGTAAGAAAGAAAGGCCGGGCGCGGTGGCTCAAGCCTGTAATCCCAGCACTTTGGGAGGCCGAGACGGGCGGATCACGAGGTCAGGAGATCGAGACCATCCTGGGTAACACAGTGAAACCCCGTCTCTACTAAAAATACAAAAACTTAGCCGGGCGAGGTGGCAGGCGCCTGTAGTCCCAGCTACTTGGGAGGCTGAGGCAGGAGAATGGCGTGAACCCGGGAGGCGGAGCTTGCAGTGAGCTGAGATCCGGCCACTGCACTCCAGCCTGGGTGACAGAGCGAGACTCCGTCTCAAAAAAAAAAAAAAAAATAGAGTAAGAAAGAAAAACTACACGAACAATGAACTGGCAATTCTGGAATTCACTAGTCCGGATCTAGCTTGACAAACACAAATGAGATCCAGGACTACATAAACAAAGGCCTTTTCACCTCTGGGGCAGATCATGAGATTGCCGTGACTGAAAATCTGTTTATTTGAACATGGTTCTCTGTATACTTAAAGTTCACTAGTTCCAACAGTGTTTGGGGTTTTTCGGTTTAGGAAGCTAGTCTTGAGGTCGATATGAGAATGGGGGAGGAGGTTAGCCCTGGATTTCTGTTCAACTGTTTTGCAAATGTACACCATTGGTCATAAGGGAGATGTCAACATTGCAAACACCACTCATTGTTTAAGAAAATACAAATCAACACCATTTTTTTGTACAACAAAAGGTTGTGTTTTCTGTGTTAAATGTAATGGTTAAAGGTATAAAGTATGTGTTTTGTTTGTTTGTTTGTTTTTTGAGAGAGTCCCGCTCTGTAGCCCAGGCTGGAGAGCAGTGGCACGATCTCGGCTCACTGCAAGCTCCGCCTCCCGGGTTCACGCCATTCTCCTGCCTCAGCCTGAGTAGCTGGTACCACAGGCGCCCGCCACCACGCCGAGCCACTGTGCCCGGCCTAAAGTATGTGTTTTATAAAAAAAAAAAAAAAAAAAAAAATGAACCCCAGGAATTAGGACTGCTTAAACAGATCCTTCTAGTCTGTTCAAGTGCTGGGCAATCATTCTTCGATTCTAAACTGCCCAGCTAATTAGAGCTATAATAATTTGCTTATCAGGCTACTGTAACAGATTCCAAATTTCCAATAAAACTAATAGCTTTATACTATTTCATTTTCGTTGTGCAGACAAAAAAGAAAAAAAATGACTATAGCATTAACAACAACAAAAAATTCTGTAAGCTCTCACCGCCAAAAGGAAGGACAGGCCAGGCGCGGTGCCTCACGCCTGTAATCTCAACACTTTGAGAGGATCTCTTGAGGATCTCTTGAGCCTAGACGCTCAAGACCAGCCGGGGCAACATGGTGACACCCCATCTCTACAAAAAGTTAAAAAATTAGCCGGGCGCGGTGGCTTATGTCTGTAATCCCAGCACTTTGGGAGGTCAAGGCGGACGGATCACTAGGTCAGGAGACCGAGACCATCCTGGCCAACATGGTGAAACCCCCTCTCTACTGAAAATACAAAAATTCGCCTGGCGTGGTGAGGCGTGCCTGTAATCCCAGGTACTCCGGAGGCTGAGGCAGGAGAATTGCTTGAAACGGGGAGGCGGAAGTTACAGTGAGCCTAGATCGTGCCACTGCACTCCAGCCTAGGGGCAGAGACGCCTTCTCAAAAAAACAAAAAACAAAAAAACCCAGCATGGTGGTTCGCACCTATTGTCTCAGCTATTCAGGAGGCTGAGGTAGGAGGATAACCTGAGCCCAGGGAGGTCGAGGCTGCAGTGAGCTGTGATTTCGCCATTCCACAAAACAGAGTGAGACCTTGTCTCAAAAAAAGAAAAGAAAAAGACAGTTGATGTCAACAGACATAGTATAAAAATTTAAAGCTCTATGCAGTGCTTTTGGTCATCATGAAACTAAATTATTTGGAATCCAAAAGCCTCTTCTCAGATACTTATTTCATCTGGAAGCCACCAAATCCTGATCGATTCCGTCAACAACAGATGTTTTTTACATTTTCATGCCATCATTATAAGCTTTACCTCCTACTGCTGAAACAAATAACTTCCTATAATTACACATAGTAATAAAATAAAAAAACTATGGCAGCTGAGATGCCAATAGATTTCAGCCAAAAAGGGCTGGCTCTTTTATGAACTCACGCTGTGGTGAAGAAAAACAAACTTAAAACACACACACACACACACCCCTTGCAAGAAAGCAAACGGGGAAGACAAATTTAGCAGCAGTTCTCTTGAATTTCCTGGCTTTGTTGATTTCGAACCACAACGTTAGCAATAAAACACCAAGACTCACATTTAAATATTTATTTTGAAATCAGAAAAACAATAGCTCTTTCAGGATTTGAAATGGCGCTTGAAAGCACACAATAGATTCTATTGGGTCAATGTATTATTTACATACGCATCTGAGACTTCAAAAAGAAGTTAAATGGGAGATGTTCTCAACAGGCAGAAATAAGATATTCCAATCTATTGTTCAAGTTTATGGCTCAGATATAAATAATGGGCTATAAACCCGTATCTGGAAAACAGTTGCGCAGTGCGTGCTTCATGGCCAGCCAATGAAAAGCAACGTCTCATTCTACTCGGTCTTCCAGCACGTCAAAAGACATCCCACCCTTTTTTTTTTTTTTTTTCCCCAAAGAAGCCAACCTCTGGGGACACCGGGTTTTAGCACCTTTGTGAGGCCTCCGGGCAGCACAGGAAGCTCTAAGGGGCACGCTCTGCAGTTGAGCTATTTGCAGAACGCCATGATCGCTCAAAGCCCAGCACGCGCACGGGTGTGCTAGTGGCACCAGCACAAGCCTTTAGACAGCCACTTCCCACGGCTGAGTTCTAGCCATCCCCTCTTTAAAACGTGTTCCCTCCACCCTGCAAGGGTGGGGTGAGAAATTCACTTTGGAAGGGCTTGCAGGGCGGAAGAGTCCGCCTTGCGGACGCCCCGGCCGCGCTTCAAGGTTCACACGCCGCATGGCCACTCGAACGCAGCCCGGTTTCGAGGCAGTCAGCGGTAGAGACTGGGGCCTCAAGCCAAGAAGGAAAGAACAAAGGGGCCGCGTTCGCCCGCCGCCCCGGGGGAAGGCCCGGGCGCGCCCGCCGTTCCGCCCATACCCCGCCCCTCGGCCGCGCGAAATGGCGGCGACGGCACCACAAAATGGCAGTCGCTCGGCCGCGGAGAGGCACCTGCTAGATGCCGTGGCTTCCTCCCCCGGCCTGGCCCCGTGAGCGCCAACGTCGTTCTACCCGCCCAGGCGCCCCAGTCTTCCCACGCCGCCCCGCCCAGGGCGCCCGGCGTCCCCTGCGACCGCGTCCGGGGCCGCCAACAACGCGGCGCCTTTGTGCGGGCGCACGCTACCTTTACTCGGCCACACGGGCCCTTCTCGGGGGCTTTCCTTAAAGGGGAAACGGCTGGAAGCGACGGAACACCGCCGCCCAGGGCGCCCCTCAGACTCGGGGTTACTACGGTTTCCCCACACTCGCAGCGTTAGCGTCAGGCCACCAAAGTGAAGAAGGGCGGGGAAGAGACCACAGAGCCCGAGAGGAGGGAAAACCTAGAAAAAATTAGTGAAAGACGCCCCCAACCCAATGCTTCGGCTGCCACGCTGAGTCCTAACGTACTGAGCCCACTCGAGGGGGCCCGTGCGCGGAGGCGGCTCCAAAGGGTGGGTTTCGGCTTTCTTTCCACCTCGCAAACGTCCAGTGGGCGCTCTACGCTTCTCATGGCTACCCCCTGCCCTCTCCCCATGCTGAGGAATCTCGGGGACTAAGCAGTGGCAGAGGGAGGAGCGGCTGCCACGGTCCCTATGCTTTTTCCCAGGCATGAGGGTCTCAGTGGACTTGGGCTCTGTTTGGGCCGTGGCTCGAAGGTTGGAGGTGTGGCGGTGTGCTTGGGGTTTTTCGCTTTTTTTCAAACGCTTGCTTCCTTGCGCTCCCCACACCCCAGCGTCCCTTTGGCTCTGTCTTTCCAGAAACTTCTCACAGAAACTCGGCAAAAAGCCTCCGACTTCGCTACCGCTTTCCTCCTCGCGCATGCGCGAGACGCCGGGCGGAAAGCCCGGGGCGCGCCGGAGTGTGAGAGTGGTGCGTGAGCGCGCGCGCGCTCGCCGTGCGGGGGCGGTTCTCTCTCACAAAGAAGGGAAAGGGTTCCCCCTCCCCCCAACATTCCGTCCCCGCGCAAGCGCGTCGGAGCCACTTCCTTGGCCTTTGAGGGAAGCGGGAGGGGTCGTCCCAAAGCGCGCTAGTCGTGGTTCCGCGCGCCTGCGCCCGTGGTCGTTTTCATCTCCCTGTGTTGTCACCGAGTCTTTGATGTGAAGTGCGTCTGAACAGCTCGCTTGTGCCCGACCCACTTTTTCCTCAAGGCCCATTCGCGGCAACTAGCTTCTTGTGGGGTTATCGATTCTGTACTCTGAGTTTCCGGGAGATTAGTCTCCCCTTTGCGCCCCGAGAATGAGGCTGCCTTCCACCCCTGCCTGCGCCATGTTTGGAACGGCTCTTGAGCGGAGCCGTGTGGAGTGTGGTGGAGTCTTCTCGAAACGGGAAAACAGTCCTGACCCAAGGCCTGGGTGGTGCCCCGACCGGCTTACGTTAGGCACTGCGTGGAATGTTTGCCCACTAAACCCAAAGAAAGGTGTCTTTTTTAATTTTCTTTTTTTGACACGGAGTCTCACTCTTGTTACCCAGGCTGGAGTGCAGTGGTGCAGTCTCCGCTCGCTGCAACCTCCGCCTCTCGGGTTCAAGCCATTCTCTTGCCTCAGCCTCCCATGTTGCTGGGCGGCGGCCAATACGCTCGGGTAATTTTTGTATGTTTAGTAGAGACGGGGTTTCACCATGTTGGTCAGGCTTGTCTCGACCTCCTGACCTCAGTTGATCTGCCCACCTTGGCCTCCCAAAGTGCTGGGATTACAGGCTTGAGCCACCCCGCCCGGCTTTGCCCCCAGCTGGGAGTTGGGTTCTGGCTGTGTTCCCCACGCTGCTTTGGAACTCCTGACGTCAAGAGATCCTTCCGCCTGGGCTTCCAAAGTGCTGAGATTACAGGTGTGAGCCGCCATGCCCGGCCTTTTTTTAAAAAAATAATTAAAATGGTCTTAAAAGGTGTCATTTTCATTGGAACGGGGTGGGGCTCCTAGTGCCCGCCACAGTCCTCCGCTCAGGCCGGCGGGGCGGGCCCTGGGCTCAGGCTAGGTGCGTGGGTGCAGAGGGCCTAAGCCGCAGCTGCTTCTCCCTCTGCCGAATTGAGCTGGGCGGTGGTAACCATAGTGACCGCACTTGCTCTTCGTTCAGTGCCTCCCCTCCCTCTTGTCCTTTAGGAGTGTGGTGGAAATTATTGCTGGGGTTTTGGGTTCTTCAAAATACAAAAAGCCAAACCAAAACGAAAAAAACCCTCTTGTGTAATCAACTTCCCCTGTGTGCAAAGTTCGGGGAACCCGGGCGGCTTGCCTCTGCCTCGCGCCTGCGCGCTCTCCTTGCCAGGCTGCCCGGTCAAGGACCCTCGCGTCCCTGCTGGCATAGCCACTTCCCTAGATGTATTGTCTTGTGACGCACCCCCAAGTCCCTGTAGGTGCAAGGCTTTAAAAAAGAGAGCTTGTTCGAGAAGAAAGCACATCGGGGGCTCTTAGAGGCCAGCGTGGACGCCACAATCGGGGGGCGAGCCGCGCGGCGACCCTACGGCTCTCGTGAGGTGCTGACTCGGGGCGGGTGCGCGTGCACCACTGACTGCGCCAGCCCGGGGTCGGGCCGAGGCAGTGCGGTGGGCGGAGCCGCCCCGTAGCCCCTAACAAAGGGCGAGCTCATTGCCCGGTGGGAACTGTGAGTTGGTGCCAGAGTCCTATGAACTCAGTATATGAAACGTGTCTAGAGAGTGTTGAAGTACCAGCAAGCAATAGAATTCTGACAAGGCTGTAATTTGAGGCTTGGAAATGACCAGCTTAAGTGTCTCTTGAATTCGTAGAATTTCTGTTATAGATTCTATCTTAACATAATTTATGCTTAATAAAGTCTTTAAAATCGGCATTCCTACGGTAATTATACTACTGACTACTAAATAAGAGGAAGAAAATTTGTGGTGTGTATGTTTTATAATTTGAAATAGGCATCATATCAAAGTTCTTTTGTGCTGTCTAATAGGATCCTGGAGATGGATTTATTTTATTTATTTATTTAGAGACAGAGTCTCTGTGTCGCCTCGGCTGGAGTACAGTGGCACGAACAGAACTCACTGCAGCCTTGACCTCCTGGGCTCAAGGGATTCACCCACCTGCAGGCGCACCACTACACCTGGCTAATTTTTAAATTTTTTGTAGAGACAGGGGTCTTGCCTTGTTGTCCAAGTTGGTCTGGAACTCCTGGGCTCAAGTGATCCTCCCACATCAGCCTCCCAAAATGTTGGGGTTACAGGCGTGACCCACCGGTTCGGGCCTGTTTGAATTATTTACTTCAAACTACAGCCAGGTGTCTGAGAGGAGCAGCAGGGGAGCCTCAAACAAATCTGCTGAAAATTTCCATCCATATGTAATAAGCTACTAAACACGATTTATTTGGTATTGTTTTTGAGATTTCATCAAATGCAGTTTGATAGCCTTCTCTGAATTAATCAGAAATTTTGGCCGGTTGTGGTGGTTCACGCCTGTAATCCCAGCACTTTGGGAGGCTGAGGCAGGGGATCACTTGAGGTCAGGAGTTTGAGACCAGCCTGGCCAACAAGGTGAAATCCCGTCTCTGCTAAAAATACAAAAATTAGCCGGGCATGGTGGCCGGTGCCTGTAATCCCAGCTACTGGGGAGGCTGAGGCACGAGAATGGGTTGAACCCAGGACGGGGAGGTTGCGGGGAGGTTGCAGGGAGCCGAGATTGTGAAGCTACACTCCAGACAGGGCGACGGGGAGACTCCGTCAAAAAAAGAAAACAGAAGTCTTGATTTGCGTTATTTACATTCTGCTTGTGTCTTGATGTTGTAGAAGTTACAATCTCCTAGACCTGGGTGTTTTGGCTAATGTGATGATCACTTATGGTGAAACAGTTAAGCTTTTTGATAATGATTACCAGTAGGGTCTTAAAAGGTTGAATGAGGGCCTGACACCATGGCATTTGCCTGTAGTCCGGTGGTTGGAGCGGGAGGATCCCTTGAGCCCAGGAGTTTGACGTTGCAGTGAGCAATGATCCTACCCCTGCACTCTAGCGGGAGTGACAGAACGACAACCTCTAAAAAAAAGTTAAATAAAATCTCTGAATTAACATAGAGAGTAATAACATTTTGTTCATGTGGGATTTGTTAATATAATAAATATGTTAATTTAATGCAGTCAACTATCAACCTTTCAGGGGAACCCTCAACTAAAGTGACCCAGATGCTAACTTCCAAAAGTCATTTATTTTATTTTTTATTTTTTTGAGATGCAGTTTTGCTTTTCTTGCGTAGGCTAGAGTACAACGGGGTGATTTCGGCTCACTGCAACCTCCGCCTCTGAGGTTCAAGCGATTCTTCTGCCTCAGCCTACTAAGTAGCTGGGATTATAAGCATGCACCACTGGGCCTGGCTAATTTTATAGTTTTAGTAGAGACGGAGTTTCTCCATATTGGTCAGGTGGGTCTCAAACTCCCTACCTCAGGTGATCCACCTGCCTCGGCCTCCCAAAGTGATGGGATTACAGGCGTGGGCCACGAGGGTGGCCCAAGTCATTTTATTATAACGTTTTTGTTTCAGATTATAAAAGCAATACCTGACAGGGCTTGGTGGCTCACTTCTATAATCCCAGCACTTTGGGAGGCTGAGGCTGGAGGATCACTTCAGACCAGGAGTTTCAGACCACCCTGGGCAATATGGTCAGACACTATCTCTTTTAAAAAGGATAAAAACTTAGGGTGCCGTGCCCACTGGCTCACGCCTGTAATCCTGGCACTTTGGGAGGCTGAGACAGGTGGATCACGAGGTCAGGAAATCAAGACCATCCTGGCCAACATGACGAAACCCCATCTCTACTAAAAATACAAAAATTAGCCGGGTGTGGTGGCGTGCCCCTGTAGTCCCAGCTACTCAGGAGGCTGAGGCAGGAGAATCCCTTGACCCCAGGAGGCGGAGATTGCAGTGAGCCAAGATTGCGCCACTGCACTCCAGTCTGGGTGACAGAGTGAGACATGGTCTCAAAAAAAAAAAAAAACAAAAAAAAGCCAGGTGTGGTGGCATGGGCCTGTGGTCCCAGCTACTCAGGAGGCTAAGGCTGGAGGATTGTTTAAGCCCAGGAGGTTGAGGCTGCAGTAAGAGGTGATCACACCACTGCACTCCAGCCTGGGAAATAGAGCAACCCTATGTCAAAGAATAATAAAATACGGTAAAAGTAATACCAGTTAACCAAAGAAAAATTTAGAAAATATAGAGGAGGCCGGACGCGGTGGCTCACGCCTGTAATCCCAGCACTTTGGGAGGCCAAGGCGGGCAGATCACGAGGTTAGGAGATAGAGACTATCCTGGCTAACACGGTGAAACCCCGTCTCTA